CCCCCCCCCCCCCCCCCCGCCATGTGGCATAGATTCCTTGGCATCAAATTAATTCTGAGGATGTGTTTAGAGCGCTTTTCAATTGCGTGTCGTAAAAACAAACCAAAACCAATTACTTTAATACCAATTAGACAACTCAGCTAATCATAAACCGCGTAGTAAAACCAAAACCAAAGTAATTTCCTGATTACTTTCGACACTCAATTGAAAACCGCTCTTAGAGAATTTTTAACTTGTTTTCAGTCAGAAAACCGGTGCTTTATCGAGAAAACAGACATTTTTCACAGACCTACCTGTTCCTCTAAGCCAGCGGGGTCTTGGCACGAGGAAAAGTTGCTCTGGAAATACATGCCATGTTGCCATGCGTCTGTTCAGAAATAGATCACAGATGACGTCAAAATGTGTCAAGAACAAAAACGTGGCACACGAGGCGATAGCCGAGTGTCACTGACGTTCTCACCAAATTTTGACGTCTTCTGCGATTTCTATCACGTGATAGTTGACTCGGGCTGCGCCCTCGTCAACTATCACGCATAGAAATCCCGAGCTCATAATCTAATTGTTTTAGTGCAAATCTACTTGTCGTTCAAAACTTTCTCTACATTCTGTTCGCAGACACTTCGAAATGCCAAGAAGCGGCCGTCATTTTGTTACAAGGACACACTGCTACGCTACTATCTATCACAGAATAGATAGTGAGTAGCATAGCCAATCAGAGAACAGCATTCGTGATAGAACGCTAGTAGATTTATACTAATACTGAACAGACTCACGGTAACATTGAATCTACTTGTTTTACAAAGAAACAAAAAATGAATTCGAAGAACCAATCAAAATGCGTGAACAATAATTATTTGACATATTATATGAAGGTGATTTGATTACAGATGACTTACTTCATCAAGAATATTAAGAGTGGAATTTTTGCCTCGATGTTCAGGTGGCCTGCGAACGCAGACGTATTTTCGCGTGTTTTAGCTGAGGCAGCATTTACACTGTTAACATACTTTCCAGATAAGCCACGTGACATCCTTCTATAAAGTTCACCAAACAGAAAGAATGATGTCCCTTGCCTATACCTTGAAGCATTTAAACTACCAGGAAACCTTTTGCATACAGAATGTAAGTCGCCTGAAAACCTTTCTTTAAGCATGGCAACATATTACTCGGCTTGGTGTTATGTAAATACATTACAACAAGATTCATCCCTTATTTCTCTCTAGATTTTGAGAACCTCTTTTTTATTATTACTGTTGTCGTTATTATTATTATCATCATTAAGATGGATCGGCCTACCTGTAGCGATTACAACCTTACATTACAATCGTCACCTTATCTGTAACATGCTACATATATCAAAAGTACTATCAAATATTTTCAATCGCGCCCGATTGGTATAAATACGTCACGTGATCAAATACTGGGGAATCCCCAATTTTCAAGCCGCGCGTTCTGCAGGATAATAAACACAATAGCTTCCATGTGGCGCGAAAATATGCTCGGATATTTGTTGGCGGACATGATCTGTTCCTCAAAGCTCAAAGTTTTCCTCCAGCTACGCTTTCGAAACCTGTTCGTTTCTCGGAACAGATAATGTCCGCAGACAAATATCCGAGCATATTTTCGCGCCGAATGGAGGCTATTGTTTATACATTTGTATTGAGAAAATAAAGATGTTGTTGTTGTGCCCTCCGCAACACAGTTAAATCCGAAAGTAACGAGGGTCGTGACTTGTCAAAGAAAAGCTAAAACCACTATGTTAGGGCTTGGGGGGCTTGGGGGTGGCGTGGGGAGGGAGTCTGCATACTGACAGGCACCTCTTGGCCATGAGCAGACAATTCGTCAACGGCCATTTGAGTTTTCTGTCAATTGGTTAGCCACGTCTAAAACGCAGGCACAACTTGGCGTAATTCAGTCGTGATTTCAGACGCCTAACAAATTGAAATCTCCTTTGTTCTTTGTGTCTGTCGCTCACTGTAGCCAACATCAATTTATGATATTTCTCTTGTTTTATCTTGAGCTTGCCTTGGAGTACACTGCTGCAATAAATACACTCCTCGTTATTGAGATATGAAGACTGGGCAACTCCACTGAGGATCATGACATCTGCACTGGCATGTTTAATCACGTGGCATCCAAAGGAAACACAAAATGTTTATTTCCTATTTTACAATGTACTTCCTTCACTTCCAATACCAACGATCTGGCGACCTCTTTCTCGCAAACTTCAGCATCAAACACGTCCTGCAAGGACAATCACTTGACCATTAATTTTCGTACTCAAATCCCCATCGACAAGACAAAATATAGGTAAGAGACCTTTCCCGCATTCCACTTCAGTGCGTTTGAACAATGGCACCAGAGCGAGTTTGGGGTGGACATTTTTATACATTTGCTGTATTTTTGTCCACCCTGACCTCGACTTGGCGTTGTTTGTTGGAATGCGGGAAAGGTCTAGTACCTTGATCTTCTCTTGCCTTCGATCAAATAGTCCTTAGATTTTCTCATTTGCATTCCAATTTAATGCAACGTGGACGCTAGACAATTTCGGGCTGAAACTACAAAATAGCATCACATACATGTTGGATTATAATGAAATGCAAATGAGAAACGTTAATCGCGAAAAGGGCTATTCTGCAGTAGATTCCTGGGTTCCAGCAATAAAGACACAATCCCGGAATAGTCTAGCATATGTCTCAGGAGCACTTTATTTGTCTCGCATTCCGTCAGAATTCACCACCATCTTGAAAGTTCGTTAAAGCACAGTCTGTGCTGATCATAAAACAAAATGTATTTGCTTTAGCAGCGGTAGGACTGGATGGTATCAAAGCTCACGGTACAGTTTTCATCAACAATGAGCTCGAAGAAAGTTGTACTGCAAATTTTTGCAGAACTTTCACCGAAACAAAAAGGAACCTAATCCATCAATGTTGAGCCAATTATTACACCAGGGTTTCTTACAACTTCTTAATCTACATGTAGAGATGAAAAAAAAAAAAAAAGCCACTTGATGAATTATTACCATGATTTTCATGGGTACTTTTGGTTGGTAACATTTCAAATTCATATGATCATCAGTGTCTGTTATCCTTTGAGCAACTCAACGGGATTCTCTCCTTATGAAGATCCAAGAATTAAGAACGATCAATACAGATTCAATGCGTGCATCATTCTTAACAGGATGCAGGCATTTTAACTGTAGTCCGCCAGCCGACAACGAAATAGCAGACTATCAGTTTTCATCAAGCTATAAAAACTATGGAATCAAATAAGGCTGAGTGGCCTGGGAGGGATACTCCGCAAAGTTTTTGGTGGAGTGTGCGGCCCGAACCTTGAAACCTGTAACCTATCTCAGACAAAAGTCTGTGATTTTCTTTATCCTATTTCAGACCTGAAAAATCAATACCCCATTTCAGACCTCTAAAATTAGTACACAACAGTCTAATATATGATGGCAGCTAACCAGAATTGGCTTCCATTTGCTTAAACATTTGACAAGGGCTACAAATTTGGTAATGTTGATGCCGAAAAAATAGTTTCTTCGAAACAAAATACCAAATGCCAAACCAGAGTGAAAAACTTACCTTACCTCAGACTAAAATCTGTACCCTTTTTCACACAAAAACCACTCAAAAACCATACCCTTTGGGGCCTCACATACCTATATAGCACATATAAGGGAGTACCATCCCCCTGGGGGCTGAGTGGGTCCCTGTGAATATGTTTACCTGGAGTTTAGTTTGGATTTCGTCTGTGTTCTCAGAACAGATGTCCCCAAGACACCATGCAATGCTCACATGAAATGATGGATTCTACAAACAAATGAAAGAAGAACGGGCTGATGTTTTCACTTCAGTCTAAATTCTCCACTAGCAAATAATTTTAACATTAAGGGGGATACGAAAGCCAAAGAGAAAAGGGAAAAAAAACAAATTTGGCGACCCTTAAAGGAGCTCAGTCATGGTTTGCGCACATTGAAAAGTTTAGCCTCAATTTTTCAAATTTGTCGTTTGTAATCTGTGTTAATCTTCTCCATCCTTAGCCATCCTTGTTCCTTAATACTCCTTGTTGCCTCGTTCTTAAACTTGAAATTCAAAAGACTATTTTCCCTTGAACGAGGCAACATGGGCTAATTTGCAAGCAAACAGAGGAACACTAAAATGGCGGCCATTTTGGAAAAAGGTGTATTTGGCACCATTTCAGTCAAAAGCACTCTTGGAAAAATAGCTTGTGTGGTCACACAACTGAAGTTACACTTGTTTAGTAATGGATAGCCTGGATAGTCCAGAAGCATCTCTCCAATCAGCCAGCAGTTCAAATTATTGCCAATTCTCAGTTGTCAATTAACTTCATCCAGATCCTCCTCAAAAGTTTACAAGATCTCACACTACATACCTAACAAACGATTTTGTAACTGCTTGAAACAATTGAATAGCTCACAAATGAAAACTCTAGAAATCTCTCTATAAGTTTCTAGCTAAAAACAAATAACTGAAAAACTACCATGATTTTCACTAGTACAATGTACATGTACCTTGTAGAATGTAGGCAGGGAAAATTCTTGAAAGATTCCATCTACCACGTCAACAATATCTTTGAACTTAAAAAAACAAAACAAAGCAAAGGACAGTTGAGAACCAAATGTATGAGGGGCAATTAATGCAAAATTATGTAAAGTAAAATTTAAGTACAACAAACAACTTTCTCTCAATCCTCCTTGACAGGTAACTCCGTGGCTAGGCAGGACCCATCACAGTAACACACCATGTAATCATGGATCATTATTCATGCCTTTAACTACATTACTAGACAACCAGTAGTGAAAAATAGAGCAAGAAAAATCAAACATAGTACTTAAAGAAAAGCGAGTCAGTCTTAAATAAATTGCTTTTCTCACCCACTTAAGCTTTTAAAACAGTCTTAACCTGTCCCAATCATTAGCTCCTGAACATCCCAAGATGGGGCATACACTGTTCACAGGTAACTACATCAGGCACGGTGTTTATGTTTATTTTATTACCTTTTTGTATTCTGACATGATTTTCAGTGCTACAAATGATCTGAAATACACAAAACCGAGCAATACCATTGTAAGTTTTTAGACCCCAGTTCACAGAGCTCAAGATCACTGGATGTGATATGTTACAATGCCATGAATTCTAACATGCTAATCATGTATTTCCCTCTGCAAGACAATTATCACGGCTTATGATGATGGCAATAGATCATTTGTAACATCATGGAATGCTATTGTTACAATCTGATGTCAACAAACAACAAGAAGTCGATTTTCCATTTAATGCTGACAGCAACAACAACAACAACTACCACATATTTGTAGTCAGTCCAAGACAAAACATACATTGGCAAGCAGACATCATCAGGTAACAAAAAATATGCCTTGACTTGACACAAAACTCTTTCAACCAACATTGCAAGAAATGTAGACTGACAATAATATCACGGTAACTAGTTTAAGCTAGAGACAGAGGGCCTCCCTTACCTTGTTTCCTCATCATTAGTGTACACTTCAGGACACTGCAAGGCTGACACAAAACTGAAAATTGTAAACAGTGGTAGGCTGGACTAAGATACACATCAAACTTTATACAAACAATTAAATGTCGCCAAATTATGTCAAGAATCTACATGCAGTATCTACTTGTAAATAAATATTAGGATGCTGCTGCACTAATGGTGTGTGTTGTAAAATTATACAAATAAACAAGTAAATAATTTTAAAAAGTACTTAAGTAAATAGTGAACTGTAAGGACACCATTGTATTGTAAGTAATGTAATTATTTGTATGTATACCGTGTAAGTATCTCCTAATTCTTAAGTAGTTTAAGTGTTGTAAGAGTAGAGTATTGTAAATAGTGCAAGTATTCAGTATTGTATTGTAGCATTTCAATTGTATTTCAATCGTATTGGAAGTAGTTTTTTTTTTCTCTGTTGTTATAACAAGTTAAAAAAAAAAATAAAAATTTTAAAAACGTTTGACAATCTTACAGAATACTGTGTGGTAACCTGCACAGTAGGCGTTTCCTTCCCAAGCACCTGAGAGGTGAATGAAAGGCTTGGGAAGCATGCAAAGTCTTAGGGCACAAACGTGACACAAAACTAGGAAGGGGAGAGGGGTGAGGAATAGTAGAAAACACTTTCTCCCCTTCCTCGCCCCCGCCCCTGTCCTAGTTTTTTTTTGTCACGTTTGCACCCTAAACCTTTGCATGCCTCCCAAGCTTTTGATTTCGGAACGTAATGACTGCTATGCAGACTGCTGTCTAGATGATTTTACATTGTATAATATAATGTGTCATGAATGGGTTACCTGTGTACAGTACTAAAGCCATTCTTGAGCTGTTGTACAATTGGATCAATCCAGTAATGTCTGATTGGAACAGTTCTGGACACACTCATATGTAATTCATCACATGGTATCGTGTGGACCTCATGTGATATCGCCACTGACAGACATTCAACTACAGATACCACAAGACTCTCAAAATGTACACTGGCTTTGACTATCAAGACAAAACATAGCCTCAGTATTATTGATTACCTGATTTTATATCTGTTCTGTAATCTTGTCTATTAATAATACAGTAGACTTGTAACAAGAACCTTATCAAAGTGGTGGTGAATATGATGTACTGATAACTAACATAGTACTCACACGGTATGAACACATGCATGGCCCAGTTACCAGGAAAGTGTGAAAATGTTCTTACTCGACCATCATGTTTAGATGGCTCATCCTCTGGTACAGAATCTGAAAGAAATAAAAGAGAGAGCTGTTGAAGGCAGTTATGATAGGTAAGGCTCCACACTAATCAAGTAGCTAAGAATCGTTTTGTATTACTGTCTTGTCTTTGCTTGCAGCAACAAATATTGAACAATCCCAGCATTATCACCTGAACCCAGTCAAACTTTTATCATTTGATTGATTTCAATCAATGGGTTCAGCAATCAAATACAACCAAACTCACCAAAAAATCTAGCCATTTACTCATCAATGCACAGTTAATGTTCAGCTCATTCAGGACTTGAGTGACAATGTTTGCATTACAAAGGTAGAACTTTTCATTTGCTATCCTGTTAATGCTTCACAGCATTATCTTCAACATCCTATCAACTTTTAATATCTTACAATTATAAAGATCTATATTATCGATATTTGTGCATTCTTTTTTTCTTTTGGATTATTTATAAACTTAAGCCAAATGAGTTCAATTGGCTTGATTGAGTACAGTCATCAAACTCACCAAAAAGTTGGAGTTAAATTGTGTTTGTTGAGTCCATCACAAAACAATCAAACAGTTGAAGTTTGGTTGAGTACAAATAGTTTTTCATTCTGTTTGGTTCAATTTATTATGCCAAGAATACATGTTTAAAAGAATGACGCCACAGCAACCTTTTCCAGCAGCTACAGTTTAACCATTGTACAACTTATTATGTAACCCATTCTGACTAAACTGAGAGCTGTCTCTAGATATTATTATCATACTAGACAGATGATTTGTTGTGACATATGATCCATCTCTAGTATAAAATGAGCCTATTTGAATTGTTTGTGATCTTATGTATTAGCTTTTTTCTTGAGAATGCTGAGGTAACACATCTGTTATCTAGGCAAATGATTTCTAAGTTACATTAATTTTTAAGTTGTATGAGTATTTTTACATGAGTTATGTCTTTGATCAAAGATCTCATTCATTCAGAGCTTATCTCTGCTCTAAATTTTGGATTTAAAATTTGGACATTTTCTAAAGAAAAAAATCGACCCTACTTTGAATTGTTGAAAATAAGAAAACAAATTAAGACAAACAAGTAACGGAAACAAAATCAAAATAAAGTCAACAAAAAACAGAAAAATAAAATTGCTTTTTTGTCAAACAGATAAGAAACAAGAACAAGTAGTCACCGACCTCATGCAGCATGTATTGGTCAAGTTGTAGCCATATCAAATAATTAACAGCACTTAAGCATTACACAATTCAGAAAGGGAACTTTTGCTTACAGAACGAGCAACAGATCTTTGTTTTATTTACCTTCTTTAAACATGTCAAGTACTCCTCTAGGAAGTGGTAGTATCTCTCTGTTTAAAAATGAAAATATGAAGAAATTTTCTATCAGCAAATTCTGCAAATGCATGTGTAACATTACCTATGTGTTTTAAAGCAAATATGATTGTGAGGAAAGTATGAGATCTTCAAATAAGAAATTGCATTTATTATGGAAGGGAGCTGATCACTCATAGATGTACAGATATCTTACACTGTACTTCACTTGCATTATAATAATATATCAGTAACCTTAGGCTCCATTTAGCCTGCAAACAGACTCCTAACAAGTGCAAGAAAAAAAATTGGTGAGCAAAGCAAGCGGGATGGGACAGAGGAGCCTGTAGACTTCGTTTTTGATGTGCCAATCCACCCGTGGTGATTAGCCTGTTACAAAT